AGGGCTATAAATGGGATGAATGTATGTATGGTTTGACGCAAACATGATATGATCTAATGATATATTGATGGCCACAAACATTGAGTTAATTTAAACAACGGATCGATATTTGATAGAAACGGACAAAAGAGTTGCTGTAATGAAGAGGCGATTAGGCTTTCAATGCATTCAATTCAATGCAATTTAGTGCAAGTCTTGTGTCTCACAAACAAATTAATTGCTCTTATATTTCGTATAACGAAATATAGAAACGCTTCAAATCTTCATTAAATCTGTTCATCAAATAAGAAGAAACACTAATTTTTTCATTTTTTTGGACTTCAGATAAAAATCAATTCATTTAGTGATGTCTAAGTTGTCGTCATTTACTATTTTGTAGACTTAAATCAAGAATTCTTAATAACTTCATATTTATTTTGAGATCAACTTATACAGTACTTACGGTAATAATACTAACATATTATGTCATACATTTGTTTTTCAGGAAAATAAATCTGATAAGAAAACTAATTACAGTACAAACAAATTGTAGAAACAAAAAATTATATCAAATCTACACTAAATAAGACTAATCCCTCACAAGTGGACTGTGATTTAGATACAAAAATTAGCAAAAATATGAATTTAATATTTAGGACATTAATCTCAAATGGTGTGAGACATCAATAATAAATGGATTGCAAGTGGATAGCAATAAATCATTGAGCGGTTCCACTGTTAGCCAGACTGGCGTTGAGGGCAGCCTTTGCCGCCTCCATCTTCTTCTCGGCCGCATTGGCCGCAGCAGTGGATCGGCTGAAGTCGGCCACAATCAAGAAGTAAGAGGCGACCGCTGCGATGGTCTGTTAGTCAACAAATTCAGTTACTATACAATCACTTCATTTCAATGACAATACTATGGCTTACATTTGAAATACTGGCGTTTGTTATAACAAACAAATCGAGACACGAATAGCCAATAGTGGGTCCTCTGACCCGATGCAAGAAAGTGGACATAACAATCACTTCATTTCAATGACAATACTATGGCTTACATTTGAAATACTGGCGTTTGTTATAACAAACAAATCGAGACACGAATAGCCAATAGTGGGTCCTCTCACCCGATGCAAGAAAGTGGACATCTGATGAGATATAAGCATTATATTTATGATCACTTTGTGCATAACATCTTTTATATTTAAACATTACATTGACTTCCAAATCAATGGGAAGTTGAAGGAGAGATAGTGTATGTAATGCTGTGTAAGGGCTGTGAGCCTAACATATGAATGGATTTTTGGGAATAAGAAAAATTGTTATTTAATTCAAAGTATATTTGATTGCAATTTGCGTACTTCTGCGGACACGTCGGCGGCCGAGAGGGATATAAATCCGAGGAAAAGCAAAGTGTGAAGAAATACAGTCCACGTGACGATAGCCAAGAGGTCATCGAATTCGGCGAAGAATAGATTGTAGAGCGCATAGCAGTTGCAGGGGATGTGACACATGTAGTTGAAGAATATGAACGACTGCCAGAAGTTGTTGGACTCGTCCACTAACTCGCAGATCTCGTTGTGTTCGTAGTAGAGAGTGGACAGGGCGTTGTTTTTGCTGCCCAACGGTCCCGGATCTGATTCGGCTAAGGCTTCGATGTCTTTGCAGACCTGTTTGAAGCGATTGCTAAGAATGAGACAAATGAGGTTGAAGTAGGTCATCGTAAACATGTTGATCCCCGACATGTAGAACACCCATAGGGTCTGAATGCCAATCCATGGCAGGAATAGTCTAAAGGAGGACACATCCATGTTCTCCCAGGCCGTCATCACATAGAGAGCGCCCACCAAACCAGTGGACGCCAAGACAATGAGGTTATTGATAACTATGGTAATTTTGGTCCGTTTCTCGTGGCTATTGGTGTCATATTTGGCGGTTCGGGCGCTATTGCTCTGCAACTGCTTCACTGACACGAAGGGCACGAGCCAAGCCAACTGTCCATTCAATCAGTCAGTCAATGATTTCAATGGTCACACACAATGAATAGAAAGCGTGTAATTGATTAGAGTTTATGGGATTAATTGATGGTAATGTTAGTGAGTAAAGACATACTTCCTGTTCGTTTCTGACGAAAATGGTGGCCGTAATGGCGCTCTGGAGGGCGTAGTAAAAGGTAGGCATTAAGTAATACATACGATAGTCATTCCAAAAGCCTGAGATGTCTCCCATCATTAGCTGAACCTCTCGGTCGCCGATAAACATCAAAACAAACGATCGGATGGCGAAGAACCATAAAATGGCACAAATTAGTTGACAATAAAGTCTCTTAAGGTTGGCTGAAGTCCTGTCCTGTTTTATGGGACCATATCTCTGTCCAAAGTCCAGACCCGT